TTTCCGGTTATAAAAAAATGAGTAATTTTTACTTAACATATTTACATTGGATGTAATGTATATGGGATGAGGGACAGGTGTGACAACACAACGTTAATCGTCTGTGTTCATTTAGACAATGAGATTTATAATTTTGAGTAAGAACCGATACTGTGTTCTTTTATTTATTTAATGTATTGTGTTGTTTTAAATAAAAATATAAAAAAAAAAAAAAAATTGTTGTTGAGCCCCATGCACAAATTCCATAGGTGAGATAGGGGTAAATAAGAGAGTGATAAAGGGCCAGGAGGGCTGACTGTGGAACATAGTACCGTATCTTCGATAGTATGCCTACAGTCTCGGAAATTTTCTTAGAAATTTGTCATTAATCTGTCATTAACACTTGTGTACTGTCATCAACTCTTGTACACTGTCATCAATACTTGTACACTATCATCAACACTTGTACACTATCATCAACACTTGTGCACTATCATCAACACTTGTACACTATCATCAACACTTGTACACTATCATCAACACTTGTGCACTATCATCAACACTTGTACACTATCATCAACACTTGTACACTGTCATCAACACTTGTACACTATCATCAACACTTGTGCACTATCATCAACACTTGTACACTATCATCAACACTTGTGCACTATCATCAACACTTGTACACTATCATCAACACTTGTACACTATCATCAACACTTGTGCACTATCATCAACACTTGTACACTATCATCAACACTTGTACACTGTTGATAAATTAGACACATGTGCAACTCTTGGGTATCTTTATTGAGGAAACGTTTCGCCACACAGTGGCTTCATCAGTCCATACAAAGGAGAATCTTGAAGAACAGGAGGAGAATGAGGTAATCAGTCCCTCAACCTTGAGGAGGAGCTTATAAACCGTTGGCAGGAGAGGTTCAGAAGTCATAGGTCGTGTAACATTTGTTCAATGTTGAAGTAGGTCGTGCCCAAGAATTAGGACTGCGAAGAATTCCCAAGTATTAAGATCCCAAGAAGTTGCAGTGTCTGACAGGTTTGTAGATGAATGGTTCGGAGAACCGACATGTTGATAAATTAGACACATGTGCAACTTCTTGGGATCTTAATACTTGGGAATTCTTCGCTTGCCTAATTCTTGGGCACGACCTACTTCAACATTGAACAAATGTTACACGACCTATGACTTCTGAACCTCTCCTGCCAACGGTTTATAAGCTCCTTCTCAGCACGTATGCCGTATTCTATTCAAGATTGATGGACTGACCACATCGACTCAAGGTTGAGGGACTGATTACCTCATTCTCCTCCCGTTCTTCAAGATTCTCCTTTGTGAACATCAAAATGGTATACAATACCTTTGTATGGACTGATGAAGCCACTGTGTGGCGAAACGTTTCCTCAATAAAGATACCCAAGAGTTGCACATGTGTCTAATTTATCAACATGTCGGTTCTCCGAACCATTCATCTACAAACTTGTACACTGTCATCAACACTTGTACACTGTCATCAACGCTTGTACACTATCATCAACACTTGTACACTGACATCAACGCTTGTACACTATCATCAACACTTGTACACTGTCATCAACGCTTGTACACTATCATCAACACTTGTACACTGTCATCAACACTTGTACACTGTCATCAACGCTTGTACACTATCATCAACACTTGTACACTGTCATCAACGCTTGTACACTATCATCAACACTTGTACACTGTCATCAACGCTTGTACACTATCATCAACACTTGTACACTGTCATCAACGCTTGTACACTATCATCAACACTTGTACACTATCATCAACACTTGTACACTGTCATCAACACTTGTACACTGTCATCAACACTTGTACACTGTCATCAACACTTGTACACTGTCATCAACACTTGTACACTGTCATCAACACTTGTACACTGTCATCAACACTTGTACACTGTCATCAACACTTGTACACTATCATCAACACTTGTACTCTGTCATCAACACTTGTACACTGTCATCAACACTTGTACACTGTCATCAACACTTGTACACTGTCATCAACACTTGTACACTGTCATCAACACTTGTACACTGTCATCAACACTTGTACACTGTCATCAACACTTGTACACTGTCATCAACACTTGTACACTATCATCAACACTTGTACACTGTCATCAACACTTGTACACTATCATCAACACTTGTTACACTATCATCAACACTTGTACACTGTCATCAACACTTGTACACTATCATCAACACTTGTACACTATCATCAACACTTGTACACTATCATCAACACTTGTACACTGTCATCAACACTTGTACACTGTCATCAACACTTGTACACTATCATCAACACTTGTACACTATCAATCAACACTTGTACACTATCATCAACACTTGACACTATCATCAACACTTGTACACTGTCATCAACACTTGTACACTATCATCAACACTTGTACACTGTCATCAACACTTGTACACTATCATCAACACTTGTACACTATCATCAAACACTTGTACACTATCATCAACACTTGTACACTGTCATCAACACTTGTACACTGTCATCAACACTTGTACTCTGTCATCAACACTTGTACACTGTCATCAACACTTGTACACTGTCATCAACACTTGTACACTGTCATCAACACTTGTACACTGTCATCAACACTTGTACACTATCATCAACACTTGTACACTATCATCAAACACTTGTACACTATCATCAACATCTTGTACACTGTCATCAACACTTGTACACTATCATCAACACTTGTACACTATCATCAACACTTGTACACTGTCATCAACACTTGTACACTATCATCAACACTTGTACACTATCATCAACACTTGTACACTGTCATCAACACTTGTACACTATCATCAACACTTGTACACTATCATCAACACTTGTACACTGTCATCAACACTTGTACACTATCATCAACACTTGTACACTATCATCAACACTTGTACACTGTCATCAACACTTGTACACTATCATCAACACTTGTACACTGTCATCAACACTTGTACACTGTCATCAACACTTGTACACTGTCATCAACACTTGTACACTATCATCAACACTTGTACACTATCATCAACACTTGTACACTGTCATCAACACTTGTACACTATCATCAACACTTGTACACTGTCATCAACACTTGTACACTGTCATCAACACTTGTACACTGTCATCAACACTTGTACACTATCATCAACACTTGTACACTGTCATCAACACTTGTACACTATCATCAACACTTGTACACTATCATCAACACTTGTACACTGTCATCAACACTTGTACACTGTCATCAACACTTGTACACTGTCATCAACACTTGTACACTATCATCAACACTTGTACACTGTCATCACACTTGTACACATCATCAACACTTGTACACTGTCATCAACACTTGTACACTGTCATCAACACCTTGTACACTGTCATCAACACTTGTACACTATCATCAACACTTGTACTCTGTCATCAACACTTGTACACTGTCATCAACACTTGTACACTATCATCAACACTTGTACACTGTCATCAACACTTGTACACTGTCATCAACACTTGTACACTGTCATCAACACTTGTACTCTGTCATCAACACTTGTACTCTGTCATCAACACTTGTACACTGTCATCAACACTTGTACACTGTCATCAACACTTGTACTCTGTCATCAACACTTGTACACTATCATCAACACTTGTACACTATCATCAACACTTGTACACTATCATCAACACTTGTACACTATCATCAACACTTGTACACTGTCATCAACAGTATATAAGATAAAAATCTCTTATAAATAATAAATACAATTAAGATACATTCAGACGTAATATAGCAACATATAGAAACATACATAAGATAATAGTATATACAAAGTACTGGTATAGACAAAAATTATATAATAATATATACAGAATGATGGAGTAGTTAAATATGTAAGATAAAACTACACATTTTTAAAATGAACCTGGCGGGCAGTGAGGCGCATGCGCACTTACATCCTCGTTTAACACCGCTTACTTTATCAATAACTTTATATGCATATAATCTAGAGTAAAAGTATATAATGATACACTAATGTCTTTGATTTAAAACATTCCCATATAAAAATTGATCTATGTATTGATCAGTGAAGAATTGAGATTAGTAAATGGGTAAATTACATTATTTAAAAATAAGGTATTGTCACTAGGAGAAAGTGGTGGTTTTTTAATCAAATATAAAATATAGTTAGGTTTATAATTGTTGCTTTATGGTTTATTATTGATGTTTTATTGTTGTAGTATTATAGTTGTGTTTGTGGAGACCGTGGAGGGTGGTGGGCGGCCCCGTGGCTGCCCCAGCAGAACCTTCCAGTCGTCAAGAAGCTGTGCTAGTGTGAGGGTCGCTCTGCCTACCCGGGGATATACTTTATATTTGTGTATATAGCACCTATTTTATAACCAAGGTGAGTGTAGAGTGAGTGTGTGGTGCTGGTGGAGCGTGTGTGAGGGTGCTGGGTGTAAGATACTCATAGAGTAGTGTTAGTTTGTGGCTTATATAAGGTAGGTGTGGCTGCAGCCAGCCGGCTAGACAAGTGTCGTCCACTTTTCTCCACTATCCTAAGATTTAACCTTAGCGTCTTAACTCCATTAATAATAACTTCCTTGTAAAGTAGTTTGAGGTTTAAAGATAGGTGGGGTATATGTGTAGGTGTAGTGGTGTAGGCAGCGTGGGTGTAGCGGCCGCCATAACTACACCTGACTCACCTTCACTACACGTACGCTGTGTAACCTACACTTTCACACTGCACTTGGTATATTTTTTTTTTTTTAGGTTACTATGACCATCAAGGAACGCCCCTTACTTCCAGGAATCTCTTCAGCTCGCAACCAGGACAACCTAGGTTCGATTCCCGGGCGGATAATTCCTGGTGGTTGTGTAAGGTTGTAGTGGTGGTGCTCCTGCAGGAGGGGAAGTGCTCAAATTTAATTGAAAGAATATAGTTCAAATTAATGTTAAGTTCTTCACTGGCATTAAGGAACCACCCAAAGATTATATTAGTGAAGTTTTGATGTTTTCACTGGTTAGTTTAATATGTTTATTATGCACCCCATACCCATCCTGTGGATGGTCTAATAGGCGTAATTAACTGTTTGTGAACTTCAGGAGCAATCTCCCAAGCAATATTTAGTCAGGTACTTCATAATAAACTAGGAAATGCGACTTGGTGAGTAATTAATGCATAGTATACGCCAATCTGATCAGTATTGCTGTTGTGTATGAAAATGGACAAATTATCCATTCCATCCTGTGGCTGGTGTCATTTCTACCAGAGTTGAATTACACCTCTGGTTATCGTTTTATACATGAAAGGTTTGAACAAAAGTATTTAGGCAAAATGCTCGGTTATCTTGTATCCCAAAATAGTTCTTGATTTGGTTAGTTGTTGCTGATCTAAGTGAAATAATGTATAGCCAGTAGTGGCTTTCCATAAAGTAAGTTGTAGGGCCTAGACAGGTTTTTTTTTTTTTTTTTTTAACTATGAAGATGAACCGTAATTTTCCCAATTTTTTGGTCTTGCAATTGTAAGTCGAATTTAGTCTGATAGCATGATATCCAGGTCGTAGGCCCAATTACATAAAGGGTAACTGTTATATAACATTCGGATATTTAGTATAGCTGGCATACTTTTAATTAATGGAAAATATCCTACCCTGGTAGGATTTGATTGTGACCTAACAATTCTTAGTATGTCCAGATTCCTGACTTTTCTAAGCTTGTATACCAGACCAATTTCTGGTCTCCTGCATATTCAGTGCAGAGTTATTTGACTAAACAAAATGGGCAGGAGTACGTCTAGACAGTTGCACAAGTCATTGGATTATACAAAGCAGGCCATCAGATGAAGGAAAGTATTTGAGTTGTCACTGAGGACCTGATTTTGTTGGTTCCTCGGTGTTGACTTGCCCAAAGCCCAGCCAGGGAACCCTAGAAAAATGTCCCCAATAACGTTAACTGTAATAGCATACTTAGAATTGCTGTTAATTTGCCAGACTCATTCATGCAGTGTTGTCAAAATTGACTGCTCCTTGCCACCAAAGTTGACTGCTGCTTACCACCAAAGGTTCCTCAGACTGAGGAACCTTTGATCAATGGCCAGGTACGTCTCCCAAACTTGCCCCCATTGAGACCCTCTGTAAGGTAAGGATAAGAGCCCATTCCTATGACTGGAGGTTGCCATCTCAGTTGTGGAGTATTTAACCAGTGAAACCCCAAAGAATGTGTTAATCACTTTCTAGGTTGAAGGATGACCTGAAGTGAGTGTATTTTATCGTGGGGGGGGGTGGCTGGCTAGCTAGTGTATTTAAATGACTAGTCGCATATACTGGGAACTGCCAGTGGAACCATCAAAAGGCCCTTGATACTGGTGACTGGAATTTTGTTCAGCATTGAGGCAATTGTTCATCAAACCAGATTCTTCCATTCCCTGGGTGCTTTGACCTTGTGGGGTGCCTTCCATTCCCTGGGTGCTTTGACCTCTTGTGGGTGCCTTCCATTCCCCTTGTGGGTGCAAAACTTTCATATAAATATAAAATATGCTTGTAGGGTGCCTCAGGATATTTATTAAAAATGGGTAAGCAGCTGCAATATATGTAGGTCATCAAATTTTGATAAATGTGCAGTGCCTTGGTTTCTTAGACGTTTTGACTAAGTGCCTCCTTTTCCTTGGATTGAACCCAGTTACCTCTTCAGGTGCTGTATGATGTAAGGGTTTAGCATTCTTCTCTCTAAAATATTTTGCTAATAGGAAAGATTGCTTGTTGCCATGGCCTGGTAGATACACAAGATTCCCTTGTTGGTTTGAGCCTTGTTTCACTTTAACAATTTTATTTACTTATTGCAATGACCTGGTAGCTGTCCTCCGTGGGAGGTCAGAGGGGGGAATCCCTGGTGGAGGCTCGCTCATCAGTAGGTAACTCCCAGTTGGTGCCTTAGTGCTATCTGAAGTCACTGGCTGTTATTGTATGTTATAGCCTAAGTATTTGAGTTGCATAGTAAATGGTCTGGTTGTGTAATAAAATTACTTTTTTTTTTTTGTGGAAAATACTATACAGTACTTTGACCATAACAGCAGGCCTAATAGCTCGTTACCTTTGAGTTCCAAGAGTTTAATTCTGACTTTGGACCAGGCTGTTATTGGCAGCCTGCTGGTCCACATTCATCAGAGCCTAGTTAATATGGCATCTGGTGGAGATACTTAGTTTCATCTTTAAGACTTTTTGCCCTTGTCACAGCAGCTATCTTCTAGTAAGGCGTTTCATAATCTGGGGCCAGCAACTTGCGTTCTCTTGTTCCCACAGTGCCCCTGATTTTTCACGGGACGTGTTTTGCACAACCATCTCTAAAGTATGTTAAGAGATTGTGCAGATTAGACTCTGGAGTACTTTTCCATTTAGTGTACCTTTCCTTTGCTCCAGTGAGTACATATTTAGAACAGGCATTCCCAGTAATTTAAATCCTTTTCAGGCTGATCTGCCTTGAATGGGACCATCAACACAACTTCATTCTAAATGAGCACAGTAGATTTTAAGTGTCACATTAGGCACTGGTTCTGTAGTTTTGAAAGTTGTCTATCAATCATCCTGGCTGCAGAAACTTTTGAAAGGTCAATTGACAATTACTTCTGGGTCTTCCAAATGTCCCTTGCATTTTGCTGATCATCTTGGGTTTTGTCCCTTTAGTTAATTTTCCTCGTCTAAGCAGCTGGAACTGGATGCCATTGAATGTCATGTTCTCCACCTCTCATTTGGAAACCTTGCCATGTTGTGCATATTCTCTTGTTGACTTAGATGCTGATTTGATGTCTGCAAATGATAATTTGATGGGTGTTTTTAACCCTTTGAGGGTCGACAGGCCCTCTCCGAAACTCGTTCTCAGGGTCGGCCAATTTAAAAAAAAAAATTATTTTTTTCTTATGAAAAGATAGAGAATCTTTTCCCCGATCATAAAGACACCAAAAGTTTGAAATTTGATAGAAAACTTACGGAATTATGCTCTCGCAAAGTTAGCGGTCTCGGCGATGTTTACGCATCGGCGATTTTGCCCACTTTGAGCCCCATTTTCGGCCAATTTCACTGTCTTAGTCGACAAAAAACATGAATATTTCGCTCTAGAACTCCATTTTTTCTATCGAATGGTACAAGAAACCACTCATTTATGAAATTCAACTATCCAGTACAGTGGTCAGAATTTAGCAATTTTGCCAATTTCACACAAATTTCAAAAGATGCCAATTTCCGAATAGGGTCCAGAATAAACAAGAAAGACATTCCTGGCACTAAAATGACATTTCCTCTAGTCATTATTCACGTCTCAAGGCCCCTCTTATATTCTTTTGCTTTCCACTTTGAATTTTTATTTTCACAAATATAGATTTACTGTTATGCAGACTACTGCATTAGTGTAAAAAATGGTATAAATATTATTGGTGCACTTGTGAAAGAATATTAGACTCGCCAGTTGACGTGTATTGCACGCTTGGCACGATTTGTTTACTTTTGAAGTTTGGTAAAAATCGAACATTTCTGCTACTTTGAGCTCAATTTCAAGCACCTTTCTTTGTAAAACCAGTCAAAATCATCTCTATTTCTGTAATATGTCTTCCATTCTATTAAAATGAGACCAAGAAAAACTAGAATACAACAATAAATACAATACGAAAATACACTGCAAAGTCGCTGATTTATTAAAAAAAAATGGTCAGTTTTTTTTTTCTCGTTATGCACTGTGTGCTGCAGGATTTTTTTTAGACTGTGCACACTGACCACATAGACCCATTCTTTCATATGAAGGCCTACCAGCTTTCTCCCACTAGATTTGAGGCCGCTAGAATTTATGAGTACTAGTACGTCAAAAACCCTACGCGTAAGACGTACTAGTACGAACGAAAACCCTCAAAGGGTTAATGCAAGGATAATAAACTGGCCTTCTGAAACCCAGACCTTGTCTATTCTAATCAAAGCCATGCAACTGATAACTTTAGAAAAGTACTGGTTTGGCAGTAGTGGATGAGTGAAACCCATAATGTGGAAGTAAAAAAATTTGGCTAGCTTTAAAAAATATTGTAAACAGGTAATGTATTTAGGACTTACTGCAATTTGACATTTGAACCATTAACTAGTCACATGACTAAGGTCCCAAGTTTAACCAAAATTGTTTCCTCGGTATATGTTTTGTCACAGTATTGTGCCTTCTTTAGTTTTATGGATGGGAGTTGCCCATGCCTAGCATGGGCCAGTAGTATGCATTAGTGCTCCATCCTTGACCCTGGAGGGTCAATCCATTGCTGGAAGTCCTATGTACACTTCACGGTAATTGATTAAAGTTGGACATAGCTAAATTTAGGAAGAAGAGTAGAACAAACTTTAACTTTGGGGAGCTTTAATTGAACTATGAATAGATGGG